GAATGATCATCACTTCTAGTCTTCAATATTCAGTGGTCATATGAACGTGTTTTTTTGACTGAGGCAATGGTTCACACTTCACATTGTTTACAGATACAATATAAGTATATGGCCCCTGTACATAAGCCCCCATCAAAAAGTCTTTACGAACGAATATAAGCCCAGGGCATATGTTCGGATGTTCACGGTATGCCATTATATATCTGATTCTGTTGTTTTCTTTGATTGGCAGTAAAAACTGTAATCATTTTAATGGTGTCTGTTCTTATAGTTTTTTCCATTCTTTTAGATTGATGTAAACCAAATGATATATCACTTTTGCATCATGCTGTAGTACATCAAACACAAAAGAACCGGGTTTAACCATAGAGGGTTCAGACCACCTGATAAAGGAGATTGACAGTAGCACAGCTATACAAGAAGGTATATAATCAGTACCATGTAATGTTTTGTAAAGATAAACTCTTTTGATGTATTACGTCGCTGCTGTGGGATCGGTTTATCTGCAGTGGTCTGTATGTTACTGGGTCCAAATGCATTGTCGTGAGAAAATTGCCTAAAGCAATATAGTTATAGGGCAGAAGAAACTCTTAAAACTGAATTTAGTTGTTACTACTGTATACTGTACTGTCTAATGAAGTGATTTTAGTCAATATAGATATATACATATGTTGTTGTTGTATATGTATAATTAATATAGCTAGCTATACTGTACACAGGGCTGCCTAGAGAATTAGTGGGGCCCGAGGCAAACCTTCCCTGGGGGCCCCCATGACATTATTATTTTTAAGCTAGACCCAACTAAACCTTAGCTAGAGGTAGACTGCATGTGGAGGTGCTGTAAGTGGCCCTCAATTTCAAAAATGCTCTTTATAGAACCTATTCAATTTTAGGCGCTTGCTCCAAGTTGGGGCCCTATTAAGATGGGGGCCCAGGGCAATTTGCCCCCCCCCACACCCCCCCTCTTGGCGGCCCTGACTGTACATGTGATTATTTTGATTATAGCTAAATAGAATATGCAACCCTATCGTAGAATGTGTTATATTTTGAGTGTATACCATAATGCTAACCCATTGAGCTGAATTGTGCCCTACTTTGTTGTTTTACTATCAATATTTAAAACATGGCTTGTTTTGGCAAGACATGACATCCTTTTCACATATTGAATTTGACAGAATGTAATTTCTGCAATATATCGAAACAATTGATGCCATTTCTTTGATGTATCGAAACCATGGATAGTTTAGAGTTTTCGACATATTGTAAAAATGGCAATCTTTTGATATATCAAAGAAATGGCATTCTTTCAATATATAGAAGCCATGGATAGTTTAGTTTTCGATATATTGAGGAAATTGCAATCTTTCGATATATAATTTGAGGAAATTGCAATCTTTCGATATGTCGAAGAAATGGCATTCTTTCGATATATCGAAGAAATGGCATTTTTTCAATATATCGAAGAAATGGCATTCTTTCGATATATCGAAGAAATGGCATTCTTTCGATATATCGAAGAAATGCCATTCTTTTAAGATATTGAAGAAATGGCATTCTTTCGATATATCGAAGAAATGGCATTCTTTCGATATATCGAGGAAATTGCAATCTTTCAATATATCGAAGAAATGGCATTCTTCCGATACCGGTATATCGAAGCATTGGATAGTTTAGAGTTTTAGATATATCGAAGGTGGCATGTGCCATGTTCTTGATATATAATTTTCACTCACTGTGGCTGCCTCCAGACATGTTTTGGAACTATAACATTTTCCTCTTTTTTTCCCTTTTATTCACATGCCTTTTACTCACTTTGCTAAAAACAATAAATTTTGCCCAAATTTTTTAGCAGTTTTTTCCTCTTAGAGATTTAGTATAATTTTAGTCATATCTTGCAACTTGGAAAAGCTAAAATTGTTGCAAAATGTGTATGTTTTTGCTGAATATATTTCCAGTCATTTTTAACATGCATTTGATGTGATTTTCCTATTAAAACATGAAATCTGTCATTGTCCACATTTGCAATTATTCTTATGTTTTTTACCAATTTTTATCATGTTTGAAAAGGAATTCTTGTTTTCATGCAGAATTATTACATTTATGTATAATTTCTCCACTGTCATGGCTGTATTCATTGCATTTTTTAGTGTTTTCTTTCATTTTTCTCTCAAATTCTGTTAAATAGAATATTGGACCCTATAGTAGAACGTGTTTTGTGTAAATGCTATTGAAATTGACCTTTATTCTTAAGTGAACAATTCATGTAATTGAAAATTAATAAATGTTAATGATTTTCTGCTCGTTTAAATGAATATACCAAAGTTTTATTGGTGTATCGAAAAATGTTATTGAGTATTTGTTTGTGTTTAATTCGGGGCAGAAGGTGTACAATATTGTATGTTAACTTTGACGACGTACTCAATTTTTATAGCGTTTTGAAATGTGTTACATCCTCAAGGGAATAGAGTTGAATACCGTACAGTCGAATTGTATGGTAACAGGTTAGTTAGCACATACAACGAGAGTGACATTCTTAAACGTGTAAATGAATATCCTTGTGTTCGTATTGACTGTTTAGTTATGCTTATTGAACTTGTGTAAATGCTATTGAAATTGACCTTTATTCTTAAGTGAACAATTCACGTAATTGAAAATTAATAAATGAAAATTAATAAATTTACCAAAGTTTTATTGTTGTATCGAAAAATGTTATTGAATGTTTGTTTGTGTTTAATGCGGGGCAGAAGGTGTACGTGCGCAGTCTCATGAGCGGTTCATCTGGAAGTAACGAAAGATCAAACGGCTGCAGAATTTAAGAGGAAACTCAATGCTTTCATTACCCGCAGAACGAGACCGCGTATGATAATATCGGACAACGCGCAAACTTTCAAAGTTACAGCTGAATGGGTGAAGATTATAAAGAAGAGCGAGAAAATGCACAACTTTCTTGCAAACGAAGAAATCAGGTGGCAATTCAATTTTGCGAAATCCCCATGGTGGGGAGGTTTCTACGAAAGGCTTATTAAGGAAGTCAAGAAAACTTTATATAAAACACTGGGGAAATCTCACTTGTCATTCGAGGGGATGGAGCAAGTGGTAATGGATATTGAGAAGAATTTGAATAATCGGCCGTTGACGTACGTGGAGGGCGAGACAGAGTCGAAGGTGCTAACGCCAAATGTTATTATGTGGGGAGGAAATGCATATCCACTCGAGTAACTGGAAACAGACACGGACGAGTTGACATCGATGAACAGGCGGCTGATTAACGGAAGACAACACGTATGGCAACGCTGGAAAAGGGAGTATATTCACGCTTTAATGGAAACGCATCGGACAAAAACGAAGGGCGGAAGTGTACCAGACGTCGGCGACATACTCTTGATCGTGGGTGATGAAAAGAATCTGGGTGAATGGAAGAAAGGTCGTGTACTACGCTTAGATAAAGTCATGGCGGAAGGACGTGCTCTTAATAGGCTCCATCAAAATGTTGCTAATACAAATGAAAATAGTTGTCTGAATTCCTTTCTTACTAGTGCTAGTTGCACTGAACTGCCTGGCATGTCTTATGATGGAGTACGTTTAAAGTGGACTGGTGATTTAACAAATTTAAAACGAATTGTACGAGAAGTGTGGGGCCTCGAAGGCAAATGGTCATCACCTGGGGGCCAGTCGAAGAAGTTTTCTAGCATAAACTCTGACTTAGTAGTCACATGGCATAAAGGTAAAGCAAAATCTGTGCTTTTTAAAGGTAGAGACGGTGTTTTGGTGCGAGATCGATGTATATTGCTTTGCGAACAAGCAACTCAGTCCATGCTAAAGCCACATTTGCCAGACTCCAATGAAATTAAACTCTCGCAGCAAAATATTACAAGTGCGTGTGATTTTCCTAACCTATCGGACAGAAATATGAATGCCGCCATCGATTCCCCTTCCCCGGTTGAAAGTATACAAGGCAGAACTATCCAACGTTCAGCTTCCGCTTTTGTCAATAATCATTGCCAGACTGAGCATATGGAGCTGAATAATAATAATTGTGGTTGTGGCTGCGGAATTCTGGTTGCTGAGTTTGAAGGGACAAAACTTGATTTAGTTATTTTACAAAAGAAGTTTGAGATTGAATTTGCGACCGAACATACCAATGTAAGCCAACTTAAGCGAGAACTTGCTCATAAAAAAAAAACCCAGTCGTCTTGAGTCGGACTTGACTTTGTTTGTGAGAGAAAGAAAGAAATGCCGAAGTCGATGAATTGAATGAAACAATAGCCTTACTTAACGACAGAATCAAAACTAGTGAAGCGATTATTGATCAACTGAGACCTTCTAATGCAAGCATAAATTTGGAAGAAACATGTACTTTTGATTCTGCTCAATCAAAAGATGAGCTTGTCACAAAATATCCAGTTTGTGTCGACATTAGAACGCAAACCAAGAATGACGATCAAAAACTATCTAATAATAATGCTGGTCAGTTTTGTATGAGTGAAAATGCGTATGTTAATCTCTTTAATAAGGTTGCCGAAGTGCGCAACGATACGGCTCATTCCATTAGTCAAACTCGCATAAATAAAAACGTTAATGCGAATTCCTCTAAGCATTTGGTCGCATGTCCATTCCTATTAAAGAAAGGACATTGTTTAAAGGGATCAAGATGTGATTTTTCTCACAATCTTACCCAAAGTCGCATAAGTATAAAGACAAGCGTGAAACCTCTTTGATTTCCTAATGGACTCATGTGAGAGATTATTATCATTAGCGCCCAACGCGAAACTAATCATAGCTGGTGACATTAACCAATTGGCGATAAAGACATTGCTAAATTACCATTCGTTAGTACAGATTGTGAATCTTCCGACTCGTGGCCAAAATATCCTTGATGTGTTTGTAACCAATGTTCCCAACATCAGGAGTAAAGCTAAAACGATAAAAAGCCTTGTACGATCTGACCATCTGGCTGTTTTACTTAAACATGTGGTCAAGGCAAAAGCCATAAGAAAAACAGTAGAGTTTCAATAAGTTAAAAATGTTGCGGAAAATGGAGGACTTTCAATGGAACACAATCTCCAGTGGTACTTCTTGTCCAAACGAAATGATCAACAACTTTTATAACAAAATCTGGCCAATATACGAAGAATGTTTCCCAATGATTAAAACACGAGTATCTAGTAGAGACCCTCCTTTTCTTTCTCCAATAGTTAAGCATCTCTTAAAGCTGAGGAAAAATGCCATTAACAAGAGAGATAACGAGAGCAGTCATCGCCTACAAGAAAGGATTAATAAACTCATTCGGAGCAATCAACTCAAAGCAGTTAAACAAGAAAATAAGAACCAAAATTGTGGATCTAAAAGATGGTGGTCATTAGTTAACAAAATAACTGGTCGTGGTAATAGTGAAGTACCATTAAGCCACATTATTGATCCAAAGGTAATGAATGAGCATTTTCAAACTATTAATACAGATCCTGACTCCTCTCCCTATTCCCCGTGGCACAAGAGTACCTGAATTATCCGTCCATACTGTTTGTAAACTACTATTAAATCAGAAACGAACCACCTCGGGTCCAGATGAGTTACCACATTGGTTTTGGAACACCTATGCATATGATATTGCGCCTGTGATAACCATCATTTTTAACAGCTCAATCAAACTGGGCATTGTTCCTGACAGTTGGAAACTAGCAAATCTTTTACCTGTCCCCAAAGAATCTCCTCTGACAGAATCAAACCAATTACGACCCATTTCGTTGACTAATATAATTGTTCGCCTTTTTGAAAGAGCAATCTATACAACTGAATTAGTCCAGGTGATGGAAAATGCCATCCATAAAGATCAGTTTGCATATAAAAGAGGTTATAGCTCTACAATGGCCCTAATAAAAGCGCAACATACCTGGATGGAATGGTTGGATGGTAATGCTAGTATGGTACGCGTCTTCTCTTTTAATTTTAGCAAAGCTTTTGACACAGTACTCGTCCGATCTCATCTGTCATATGGTAGTGAGATCTGGGCACCTCAAGGATCGTCACGTGATCTTGCGATCATCGAGGGTGTTCAAAGACGAGCTAGTAAATTTATCCTTCAGGATTATGAGTTGCCATATCCTGAACGCATTAAAAAGCTTAATTTATTACCAGTATCCTACTGGATGGAACTAAAGGATCTCGTCTTCTTTTTTAAATGTAAGCACGGTCTCTTCGACCTAGATATCTCCTCTTTCGTCACTTTTTCTTCAAACAGCTCGTCTCACACCCGTTCAAGTTCGGACAACTTGCTTCGTGTCAATCATTGCAGGACTTCTCTCTTTAGGAACTCTTTTTTCAACCGAATTGTCTTTCTCTGGAATAATCTCTCTCCCACCATTCGTAATAGTTCATCGGTTTCCTCCTTTAAAAACAGACTAACTGTTCATTACTCTTCTCTACTTCATTCATCTTTCGATGTAAACAGAATGCGCACTTGGAAAACCTTCTGTTCTAAGTGCCGCTCTTTCAACTTAAGCTGTTGTTCGTAATTCGTCATGTTTTCTGTAAATTTTATATTTGTTATCGTCTTTGATTTATGTTTGTTATAGTTTGTTTTCATTAAGGTTGGTCTTCATATGGGGCTATTCATGTCCTGTTGACCATACCTTCAACCATATTATGTAGTTTTTTTAGTCTATTTTATGTATGGTTGTAAATTTAATAAATAAATAAATAAATAAATATCTTAGTCAAGTAGATAAACTTTTAAAACGTGCATATAAGTATGGATATCTTATGTATCAGGTATCGATTGTTATATTAAACAATAAAGACAGAGATTTATGGGAGAAAATAACTACGGATCCCAACCATGCCCTGCAAGTTTTGCTGCCTCCTAGTCGTCAATTAGAATTACGCAATCGCGGACATGAGTATGAACTACCGAGAGTTCGAACAGAAAGGTATAAAAGAGTGTTCGTTAATAGATGTCTTTTTAACTTCATATGATATTTTTTAAATTAGAAATTAACTTCTTAGGAACTACATTAAACATTATAATAATGGTATTTTAGCTCTATTAATGAAAAATATCAATACTAATACAGTAATTAGTATAATAATTATTGATAAGTAAGTGCAAATTGTAAGCCCGCACGTTTGTTGTGAGGTGTTGCTTTTAATATTTTAATAAAGATTTATACATACTTAGTAAAGGGCAAGGACAGTGTTGTACGGGGCGTCGTTTTGTGTCACAACGGTCGAAGAAAGGAGCGACCTTTACAATTAGTCTGTCCATTGGAACTTAAAGTCGCAGAAAGTGTCGTGGAGCAAAAGCAGAACGAAACGGTCTCTAAGAATAACGAGTTCAAAGAAACGCTGCGAAGGAAGCGGAGCAGAGAATACGGTTGCAGTTAGAGGAAGAAGAGGACAATTGAGCTATAGATACATGTATAGTTGCGTTCATATTGTTATTGTTACAGTAACGGTAAAAATTGACAATTTCATATTTAGGGGAGTGTGAGCCAAATGGACAAGCATGTGCCACACCTCCAACTAAGGAAATTAGGTTACTAGGAAAACGAGAGAAATGTGAGCGAGGAAGCGAGTATTTTACAGCGATCATTTGTGCGAAAATTTTAGAGAAAATAGTGGTTGTGGTTTAGAAAAATTCCACTACTATGCATACGGTCGGCATGTTACAGTTGAGACAGATCACAAACCTTTGGAGGCTATCTTCAAGAAACATCTATCCAGTGCACCACCACGTATTTCCAGGATGATGCTACGTATCCAGAAATATGTCGTAGAGATCAAGTACGTTCCGGGGAAAGAAATACCATTGGCCGACGCACTGTCACGACTAAGCCCATGCGATACAGGCACAATCAAAGGACTTGACGTATCTATTCATGAGCTACACATGCACCTCAACGCAAGTCCAATCAGAATCCAGCATATCCAGACGGAAACTGCCAAGGATCCTGTTCTCAATTCGCTTAAATCCTTTATCAGCCGGGGATTACCAGATAAGAGATCGGACTGTCCATCACATCTTCACGGATACTGGAATTATTGCGATGAGCTCACGGTTGCTAATGGATTAATTCTCAAAGGAACCCGCATCATCATACCAAAGAGTTTACAGCCAGAAGTCCTTGAGCAACTTCATTATGCACACGAAGGTGCAGAAAAATGCAAGCTCCGGGCTAAAGGTTCCGTATTCTGGGCAAGCATTAATGCTGATATAGAGAACATGGTAAAGGGTTGCAGTCCGTGTCAACACAATCAACGTGCGAATGTAAAGGAACCACTTACACCTCACGACATTCCACCTAAGCCATGGCACACACTTTGCTCTGACTTGGGGGGTTTTTAACGAGTCTTATCTTCTGGTATCAGATTACTATAGCAAGTTTCCTTTGATTCGTAAGCTTCGTAATATCCAGTCAAACACTGTTATTCCACGTCTAAAGTCCATCTTTAATTAAAGAGCATGGAATTCCAAGTAAATTTGTTACTGGAAACGACACTCGGTTTACTTCTTCAGGCTTCACAGAATTCAGTAAGGCATATGGTTTCGAACATGTTACAACCAGTCCTTACTATTCGCAAGCAAACGGGTTTATCGAAAGGAACGTTCAAACGGTGAAGAATTTGTTACAGAAATGCAAAGAGTCCGAATCGGATCCACATCTCGCTATGCTTTGTCTGCGAACAACACCCATCAACCATCACCTGCCGTCATCCACAGAAATGTTGAATTCCAGAACCTATCAATCCAACCTTTCTAGTTTGTCTAAACCAACTTTGTTTCCAAAGATAGACGATGAAATTAATGCAAAATTGCAAGCAAGACACGATCTGCAAAAGATATATTATGACAAGTCATCAAGGGATCTCCCAGAAGTATACCCAGGTGATAACGTGTACTCAACCCCTTTAATCACAAATGGGAACCTGATGTTATCAAGGACAAAGAACAAACACCAAAATCATATATTCTTGATATGCCTAGTGGTAGCACTTTAAAGCGAAATCGTCGATATATTCGACCATCTGTTGAATCACCCAATGAAGATGTTGGTGACAATCCATCTACCAGCATTACTGCAACTGAATCGTCATTCACGAGTAATACCAGTGTTCCAACTTCACCACCCAAAGTTGAAGAGACACGGAATGTTCAAACCCCGAAGCTGAGAATATCTACCCGTGTTACTAAACGCCCGGACAGATGGAATTTATAGAATATAATAAACAATTAGTTAATAGTATTGTTATAGTATTGTAATGCTTTGATAAACAGTTATGATCGCGATTGAACATTTAGTTAGTTTTAACTAGTGACTTAGGTGAACAATTAATCAATCAATTAGTGAACTTTTAATTAGTGAACAATTAATTGATATTTGAACATTTAGTTTTTGACTTTGTCCATTACTACTTAGAAAGAGAGGGATGTCATGGTATACCTGTGGACTACCATACATGGATACTAATTTGCATGCCACGTAGTTAAATAGGATCGCCATCTTTGATTTTGTTAGTCTTACTTGATCATTATCCTTACACATTATTTGATTCACAAATAAATGAAATTATAACATACGAAAGTATAACACTACCTATGATAAAACATTTCATCAGCTAAAGTTGGAATGATGTAGACATGAATAAAAAACAACAGAATATTGTAACATCTAAATCAACAAATACAGTTGCAGTATTCCTGTTAACCAACCACATTATGATTGATGCATGACCAAGTTTAATAGATTATGAAAAATGAAAATTTTCCACAAATACTGTAAATATTTTCCAGGTTAACAGCATAAAGCTGATACCTTAATACTCCCATCAGCCTAAAGGTGCTTTATTTATGGGTACAAAGCTCACAATGCCTGGGAAACCTTGTAAGCCATTGTGTGGTGAATGATTTGACAGGTAATTGAAATTTTTCTATTTGTCTGCCCAACAAAAAATATATATCAGTTTATATTAATAAAAATATTGACAACTCTGGTAATTGGCATACATTAATTGTTCAATTTTTTTCAAGTAATATTGTCTTAATACCATTTCACAATACAGTGCACTTCATCAATAGCCAAGCATTTAATGCTTTCTCTATAACATATTAGATATTACAATTCCCTGGATTTTATGTTCTACGTAGACATCATTCGATCTAAAGTAACTGAAACCCTTCATATAAAAGCAAAAGGAAATATAAACTGACAGTCTGATATACAGCGGATTTTCCTGATCCCGTCGGCTGAGATGCATTAGACCGATTTCACAGAACCTATAGCCTTTCTTTCCATAGTTCAAATATTTATCTGTCGTTTTATATATTCGCCATGGCAAATTTGTATTTTGCATTTTTGTAATACACACGTGGGGTCTAAGCCGTTTACAAGTTGATTACTAAATTACATAAAGCACACATACAAACTTATAGCAAAGATTACAATTATACTGTATATACACACAAAGACAGACGACTTATATAATACAAATAAACACATACTGGAGTTTTTTTGTTATTTTTACAAAATTAATATTTACTTATAAAATCTTGTTTTATATATTTTTTGAATTTTTTAAATGAAAGAGACTTAACATGAAAATCAATTGCATTCCAAACTATAGGTCCTTGAAATCGTACGTGAATTTACCATAATTTGTTCTTATTTTTGGGAGATAGTAAGACTGTGTAGCCAGTGAACGTGTATTATAATTATGAACATTTTCCACTGGCGTAAAAAACAACTCAAAGGCAGGAGGTAACATCTGATGATGAAATTTAAACATAAATATTGCAATATGTAGGGTGACAAGATCACACAGCTTTATAATCTTCAATGATTTAAATATTGGGCTAGAGTGCTCATCGAATTTAGAAAAAGTCATAATGCGGATAGCCCTTTTTTGCAGCACAAAAAGTGGCTGAATAGTTGAAGGGTAAGTATTTCCCCAACTAATTATCGAAAATATTAGAAAGTGATAAACCATAGCATAATACATAGTTATCAATGTATTAGTACTAACAAAATAGCGCAACTTAGATAGGACACCAATGCTTCTCTTAATTTTTGTTTTGCTATATATTCAATCTGAGGTTTCCAGCAGAGGTGTGCATCAATAAGAACGCCTAAATACTTAATGCAATTTTTTTGTTCCAATTGAATATTATTCAGGGTTAACTGAATGTTAGAGTGTATAACCTTCTCTGAGATGGATGGAAAATAACAAAGTTTGATATTTCTATGTTTAAAGACAACCGGTTAGCACAAAGCCAAATGTAAACCTTATCTAACTCTTGGTTTAGGTTAGATTCTAGATTTTCTAAACTTGCATTTTTATAAAATAAGTTGGCATCGTCAGCAAATAAATGAAAGTCAAATAAAGATGAAGAGTGATGAAAATCGTTTATATAGATCAAAAATAATATTGGACCAAGAACAGATCCTTGAGGTACACCACAGGAAATTGTTGATGGGTCAGAACTTATGTTATTTATTTTAACTATTTGTTGTCTATCAGAAAGATACGAGGTGAACCATTTACTGGATAATCCTCTAATTCCATAGTAATTCAACTTTTCTATTAAAATCTCATGGTTTACTGTGTCAAAAGCTTTACTAAAGTCCAAGAAGATTCCAAGCGAATAATCATGTTCATCAATAGCTCTTTGTATTTTATCAGTTATTTTAAGAATGGCATATTCTGTTGAATAATTTCTACGAAAACCAAATTGGTTCGCATAAAACACGTTTTTCTTCTTGAGGAAGTCAAGTAAACGGTAACACATAAGTTTTTCTAAAAGTTTATTGAAAATAGAAAGAAGGGAAATTGGTCTATAGTTGCAAAGGCTGGATGGCGAATCCTTCTTATATACTGGTATAACATTGGCTATTTTAAAACTTGTTGGAACAATTCCTGTCTCAAATGAAGTGTTAAATAAAGTTGCTAAAGGCTCGGAGATTGCAAATTTAAGGATTTTGAGAATGTGAACAGGTATACTAAATGGGCCGGCGGCCTTGCCATTTTTAAGCTTGGAAATTTCAGTCACAATTTCGTCACTAGTTACTCGGAACATAAAAAAGCTATTTTGTACTGGGGTTTTTAAATAATCTAGAGGCGAGTTTTGAACATTAAGTATTACATTAGATAGATTATTACCTATATTTGAGAAGTAATTATTGAAAGCATTAGCAATCATCTTTGGATCAGTTATTAGTTAGAAACCCTCGCCATACTGATAAAACATTATATTTTCTGAATATGAAGAGTTGAAAGTAGTTCTCATGGTAACACGATAATTTTAAGAATAGTTTTAAAAGTGAAAAAGCCCCCCAAAATATCACTTTTAATAACAAAATTATCAATTTCCCAAACATATATATGCTAGGTATGTTATTATACGTAATAAATATAAGCTTCAATTTAATGTAAAATTCAACCACAAATGCTTCGCAAAACGTTTTAAAATCTTCTTAGAACTGAACGGCCTTTTATCGAATTAGTGGTAAACATTGAGTTTGAAATAAACTGATTTCAAATTCTCGCATGAAGAATTATAACTTTGCTTTCCTCTTTATTTAAAGACCATGTAATGTCCGTTCTGCGCAAGCTTACATTCCAATGGTCGGGACCCGACCGTTGGAATGTTAGTAATATAACTAATATTTCGTATCTTTTGAACTTTCTTAATTGAATCTCTAGTCTGTATTCATTTACAAGCATAGCGAACGAGAAGAGTGTTAAAAATTCAGTATAATATATATCTAATCCTATTTTATAACTGTAGCACTGAGTTCAAAATGTAAACAAAGCGTTTGTTTACATTACGGACTTTACATGGTCTTTAAATATTTTAATATGCAAAAGAAAGGGTAATTAATAAAACTACACTGAAATTATATATATGCTGTCTTTTTTCACTTATATACGCAACGACGAGCGCAACGGTAGTATATCAGTTCGATATTCGCAGTATCGCCCATCACTATAAGTTATAAATATATAAATTATACTAAAACAAACAATACATCAATATTTATAACAAACTTAATTACCTTTATTAATGTCGGCGACTTTGCTCCATTCTTTTAGAAGTTTTTTGTACGTTTTTTGGCTCTCAGAAAGGTTTTGAAATTTTCAAAATCTTGCAAAAATACAACTTGAAAGAAATGTTTGTTATTTCGCTGTCGTCAATGCAGTCGTTATAATGCCAATTTCAAATTTGACCAATCAGTGTTCACTATTCACAACAGTTCGCTACATAGTTCGAGATCAGTGAGGATGACCACCCATGAACGGTGAGCCGGTTTCAGGGTTATTAACCAAAAGAAATACTTCGTATTCGTAGATTTCAGACACAGTATAGAGTCACTGGACAAGTAACGAGCTTTTCTGTCACGTCCAGAGCGTCATGGTCAATTTCAGCGGATAGTTTTGGCTCAATGCTCACGAAGAAGTTATTAAAGGCCTCTGCTATCAGCCTATCATTAAATTATCATAATAATAGTGTCGCCTGTTTTTAATTGGCCAATGTTGTTTGATTTATAATGTTTACCCAAGAGGTGATTACTATGGTGCTAACTTTCTTTATTCTGAGCACAATCCTCAAATTTGTCAAAGAGTTAACTTTATTGCGAGTGTCTTAATGTACTTCGCCCAGTGTGATTGCATGAGAATTAAATTTGACAGCTGTTTGATGTTTGGAGTAATCCAAGAAAGTGAGTTGCCTCGGGTTATCATGCATCCAAATGGTACATGTAGTCGTCCAAGTATTTGCAAGTAAAAAGGTTTTCATAGTTGTCAACAAGAGTTTGGATTTTCATATTGTGCCGCATTTTCCCATGCCATCTGTGATAGATCATTAAAGAAAGTCCGTAGCATTGAAATTTTTAAAGTTACGGACATATATAGCATTTTGTCCAGATTCTGGAGTAGAAAATTTTCAGACGCCAAAAATCAAAC